TATATTATTTTGTTAATCAATATTATTATCTTCAGTTACATATATGCTATTTTTATATTTGTTTTAATATACATAAATTGATTTTAACATAAATACTAAAATTTAGACACATTTCTAATTTTTAAACATGTAAATAAACGAAAAGAACATGAACAGTCATACATAATTTTAAATGTAGATACATGTAATAAAAAACTAAAATTAACATGAACAGTCATTACCATTTTGTATCATAAACAAAACACAACATAATTTATTAGTAATAATAATTAATGAATTAATTATTCTAATATATTATGTTAAGCTTTAAGTTTTCTATTTTTAAAAACCTTAATGATATGTCTAGAATTATATATAACTAATTAATGTTAAGTACTATTTAAATATTAATAAATAAAATAAAACTATTAAAATTTAGTGATAATATATAGTAATTTGTGATATATTACCAATAAATTCTCTTTAATAAATTCGAATAATTAACATGGTTTACTTTCACATTAATTATAATAACATATGCAAAATTACAAAAAAAAACAGGTATCTTTATAAATAGTTACAATTAGTATTAGATTTTCAAATTTTGAAATCAAATTTTTTTGTTGTATTGAATTATCTACTGTTTGTATTATATATATGATAAAATATCTTTGTATTCGATAAATAAACGTATAAGTATATTTATATTTCATGTTAAATTAAGTTGGCTATAATTTCAACAATAGCATTTTAGTTGATATAAAAATAAATAAAAATTTTAAAATAAAAATATAATTTATAAAAATAATTATAACAAAATAGTGAAAGCTATTATAAGAAAATAGTGAAAGTTAATGTAATTTAATTGAAAATAAAATTAAACTTTTAATATTTTATCAAATTTTCTTTAATGGAAAATAAATTTATTAATTTTTAAGTAATGTGAACACAAGATTTAAGATTATTGTTTTCTAATAATTGTAAAAAAAAATAAAACTGTTACACACTAACTTAAAAAGCTTAACTATACCTTTAATATTGATAAGAAAAATAAGTATACTAAGAGACCAACAGAGACATAATATAAAATAAATCAATATAAAACAAATAAAAGAAAAAGTGAAACTAAATGACTTTACAAAACAAACCAATTAGAAAAATAGACAATGGCATAAAAATAGAACATAACCTCATTCAAACAATTGTATCAGAAAAATTGGTCAATCTAACAGAGTTGAGGTTAAATTTTCTAAAAAAAAATAAAAAGAATTAAAATATTAAAAGGTAAATTATAATTTGAAACATATCAGGTAGAAAAAAAAAAGTCCAACTCCAAAAGAACAGAAACTGTTTGCTCGGAATTAGAATAACTAATCAAAGCACGGTCATTTGTAATTTATAACAAATATAAGTGAAGATACATGTTTAGTATAGACCAATATGATAAAATCTAAGTTCACAAGACAAATTATGTACACTATTAAAAAAATTGTTTAATTATGAAAATGTATTTTCTCTAAGTATTTTGAAATGTGATATTTTTTAAGCATAGACGCGTATTCACAAATTTATTGTCTTAAACTCTTAGTTTTTTTTTATTTCACTTTTGTTTTTATTATTAATAAATATAAAGTTGTTTAAATTATTTAATCAATTTTTTAAAAAAAAAATAGAATGAGGATTAAGGTAATGAGTTCCCGATATACTTACATATAAATTTCATATTTCTTTTGATTAAATTTCAAATCTCGCGCGAAGCGCGGACTTCCCCTAGTTATTTTATATGAAATATAAGGATGCATGAGAACAAACTTTACAAAAAAGTAAAAAAAAAAACCTTTACAAAAAGATGACCGTCGGTGTGATCTCTGAAACCTAAGGTAAGAAAACGATTTAACGGACCGAAATTGTGTGTAAATCTTTAAAAAAATTCTGCAATTTGGGTAATACAGAAATCATTCTATAACTGGTCATTATATTTTAAAGAGCCCAAACTCATTTTGTCAAAAACTCAAAAAATCTGATTGTGACAAACCGAGATGAGAATTAATTTTGTCCGGTTTGATTTCAATTAGTAAATGTTGACATGTCTTTTTTTGCCCCATGCTCTAATGCTGATATGGAAGCTTGAGAAGTGAGAAAACTCAACTTTATTATATAAGATTTGTTTTTATTATTAATAAATATAAAGTTGTTTAAATTATTTAATCAATTTTAAAAAAAAAAATTTAGAATGAGGATTAAGGTAATGAGTTCCCAATATACTTACATATAAATTTCATATTTCTTTTGATTAAATTTCAAATCCCGCGCGAAGCGCGGACTTCCCCTAGTTATTTTATATGAAATATAAGGATGCATGAGAACAAACTTTACAAAAAAGTAAAAAAAAAAACCTTTACAAAAAGATGACCGTC